GGAGAAAGAAAGCGAAGTTTTCGCAAGTTGATTTTAGAGTGTATTCTGCCTACTTGAGGCCCCGCTGTTACCGTGGCTAAATAGCGATTTATTTCTGTGGCGTTGGGTGTTTCTAGCCATTAAGCTTGTCTCGTCGGTTTCTACAAACCAGAGCCTTCCTGCCCGTTACTTTATCCTATGATTCGTTAGGCTAATCTAACTTTATTTGATTTTAATTCAACGTTACTTGTTTAAGTTAGCCCAGAAGCGTTGGCTTGTGTAAACTCAGGTTGGGTCATTGTTACTTTTTTGTGTTCAAATAAAAGAGCTATTTGCACCCTTCTTCTGACTTCGTTTGTTTACAGTTTAAGACAAAAGGGTTATTTCTCATAGTCTTTCTAGAGCTCGTTAGTTTATGCTACTAAAGAAAGTGAGACTCTATAAGTTAACAAACTGTCGGTATTTACTACTCCAAAATCTTCTAAAGTCACGGTTCCAACGTGCGTGGAGATACCAAGAAAAATAACGTCATTTTCTTTGAAACACTTCTTGCATGAACAACTTCCGTAGCTTTTAAATCATTTTGAAACACCTAGGAAGTGGATTATTATTTTGTTTTGGGTTCACAGAATAAATCCACATTTCGTCACCCATTAAAATATAGTGCGTCCCTAAAGTCATGGTGCACTTTTGATAGGTCACAGGAAAGCAACAAAACTAGATAGAAATGTGAAATCTTCACCAAACAAAAGAAAACCTCTTAAAGTTTCATACCTATTCAGATTAGTTCTATGTGGGCTCCATCTATGCCGTCACAGGCTACTCCGCAATGAAAAACGGTCCTATCACTTTATCATGCATCATGCCACACCACACGTTCACTTTAGGATTGTTCCGTTCGTACTCTACGTGGGCATGAGGATTTTCAGCAGCCCATATTAGGATGTTATAGCAATGAACATGTCCACTAACAGGGAATGTCGCCTCATTGCTAAACACAATCTTCTGCAGAAATCGGTTATCACTGTCAACCTCATGAAACATACCTGTAGCAAACGCAAACCGTTTGAGTCTATCTGTCGGTTTGATAGGGTGCAACAGCTGCAATTTGTTTAAGGCTTTAAGTAACTCTTCCATATAGCCTCTACAGCCTCGTCACTGACCGAGAGCCTGCCAAAACGGGGTTTGTCCAATAAACTGCCGGTATCCTTCAACTGCTTATCTCACCGATTAATGTCATTTCTATGTGGCGGTTCGTTGTACACGCGACGATATTCACGTTGCATTTTGGTCACGGATTCGAATTTCGCAAGCGATAGAACACACTGAACTTTCCTTTGTACTGTCCACAACTCAACTGGCGTGGGCGTGGATGGGCTAATCTTCTCCTTCGCATTTCGCGGTGCACCTGTGTGCGCACATACTTGCACATAAAACTACGGAAACTTGGAGAGTTTTCCTTTTGTTTGGTGAAGATTTCACATTTCTATCTTGTTTTGCTGCTTTCCTGTGGCCGATCAAAAGTGCACCATGACTTTACGGGCGCACTATATAAGACAGCTTTTCGGACACCAGCACGGAATCTTTTGAGATGTTCCTTTCACGACTTGAAATGAAGGCATACATTTTTTATTTTTAAATGATCATGATCACATAAAATTGAATGAATTCAGATTATTGAATTGTTCCTTAACTTCAACAATAAGAACCCTTTAATTTCAATAAATCTTCAATGATGATAAATTATTACACAGTATCAATGTCTTCTGGCGTCTTAGATGTTCTAGTTCTTAGTCCACTGCCGAAAAATTCATCACTTTGACTTTTACATCCACGATTCAATTCTTTAAATGAAATATAATTTGTTGCTTTCAATACAGGTTCGTCATCAAAAATGGAATTTGTTCGATCAGCGCACTGTTGTCGTGTCAAATTTTGTCAAAAATCGTGTTGTTGTTCTAAATAATATCACTTGTCTGACCTAATCAGAACAAACCCACAAATTTTTTCATACCAAGGAGCCTTGGTCACCATATAGCTGACAGCACGACTTTCCCCGGTTCCACCCTAATTTAGAAGGAAAGCATCCAATTTTGAGGCAGAGCACTCATCCCCTACCACCACACTACACGAGACCACATATATTTAGACATATATTTAGAGACCATATATATCATATACACTTAGCTTGCTCCACCAAAACCACGTAAATTTTGAGTGCTTCTATGCCGCAAAAACACTACACACTTACAACACTCATGCCTTCTCCGGAACCTGAACCCGGAGAAGGCATAGATCTTTGTAAATTTGTAGTGTCTTTGTGGAATGGGAGCACTCTAAATATATGGCGAGCCAAAAATCATCTCGTGTGGCATGGGAGAGGGTAAGGAGACTCTCGGAACCCCTTCCCCTCGGAGCGCTTTTCCTCAAAATTGGGATGGAAGTTGAAGTCCAACCTGCAGTTAATTTTATTTTGGAAGCAACCTTGCCTACAGCTCTTTTTTACGACCCATGCTTTCTTACCATAATGAGATTTCAGTTTCTCGTATTATGCAAAGCAGGGTAGAAAAATACTATCTGAGTTACTTCAGACACAGCGTGTTTTGTCTTTCGGCCACGTTGTTTCTTTGCTATTTAAGCTTGCTGTTTTCCGGCCGTGCTTCTTAATTACCGGTTAAATCTACGTCGGTGGTAGGGCCAAGAGCCAAATATCTCTGTGCAGCAAAATATCTCTGTGTACGTTAAAATATCTCTGTGCAGCTTCGGCTGATTATTTAACTTAGGACTAGTTTTAATTTTACGCTTCTATTCTGAGTTGCCGCCAAAAGTATTGGCAAGGCCCTGTGTGCACCAGGAGTGCCAACTGTACATTCTATTCTGAGGTGAATAAAAGGGTTTTTTCACCCTTCCTTTGTGTCTTTACTGATACAACTGAACTTAGCCAACAAAGCAACTTTAATTTAGCTAGGATCTTACAAATGGACATATTTTTGTTTAACAAAATTTTATAATGCAATACTTCAACGTCAAAAAATGAAAGCACTAAAATAAGCATTAAAAGCGAAATAAGTTAGGCAAGAATTTTTGGCAAAGAAGACAAAATTATCATTCCTTACTTCGCTCATTTCAATGATAAAAATGTATTTTTTTATTGACAAAAATTTTTGATAGAAATTTTATGCATCGGAATCTAAGTGTATGACTCTCTAAAGTTATTTCTTTTCCCTCTCGCGCACATTGAACTTCAAAGAAAGAACGCTATTATAGATAAAGCATACTACATTTAAAAAAAAAATACATTGGCTTGGGTCATGTTATCTTGTTCTAAAATAAAGTAAAAATTTAAAAAAAAAATATTTTCCCATCAATGAACCAGTGTTATCTTTGTAAAGGATTAAGTAATATCTTTAGTATTATCGGTACCAACACCAATGAAAACCACTTGAGAGTATAACTTCATTCAGTATCACATGTTACACATGTGAAATCTGGGATATCAATATACTAATAATGATGTACTTTGGAATCACCAAAATTTCTGCTGCTCACAAGTTGTAGAGTAGCAGTACAGTCTATGAAATCCTGGTACTGCACCTTTGTAGGAACTGTCTCATACCTCAAAAAACTGAATGAGGTTTTCCTCTTCGTAATGCCGAATGCAAGAAAATCTTAGAAAGTAGCCCATGAAGGCATCACTCCTACTGCAATATACCTTGAATGCTTTGTCAATAACTAAATAAATAACAATCTGCTTGTTTGATTATAGCAAAATATGACGACTGTCTACCAAAGGTGAGGATGGCGTTAATGGAAGATTTTTCTAATGATAACTGATTCATACTCGCGTAACATGCAAAAAAAATTCTGAACACTCCTCTATACTTAATCCAATCGCTGGGATTGAAGAAAAGCTAGGCCGAACTACCAGAGAGAAACTGAGTGGATAGGACCTGCTAAATAAGCAGGTCCTATCCACTCAGTTATTGACTGGCAGTAGTTTTCTGTTATGCTTTATTTCTTACAAGGAAGCTTTAGAAAACCACCGATTTCTCTCCGACTTCGCATAATTGCAAAGTTATACGGTATTTTCTACCTCTATTCGTGGCGTAACAGTAACACACTCGGCGCGTATTCGAGAGGGCCAGGTTCGAGTCCCGGCAGATGTTCACTTGTTCTGCTTGGGGAAAAAAAAAAACTGACTCTACAGAAGAATCATGTAAATATATAATAGTTCCAAAAATAGTGAAAATTATCTAAATATATAGTACTTCAAAAATTTTTTTTATTTACTCTTTAAATTAATACATTATTCTTGCAGCGTATCAAAATGTTAATTGCTTGCGGATGTGTTTCTGAACCAGTATTATTATTTTTCACATTTTTAGATTTGACGAACGAACTTGGTTCCAAAATTTTAATTTTTAGCACTTCACTTTATTTTATAGCTGGAGAAGAATAGTTTTTAACTAACTCTGGTATATAGTATAATTTTCTTTTCTGGATAAAATGACTTATGTTTTAATTTCAGTAGCTTTTTATTTTTACCAGAAATGCTATAAAGATATGTATTTTGTTTCAAGTTTATAGCAAGCATGTCACCATTGAGTATTCATTGCTATCAGTGTCTCAACTACTTAACGATGTCCTAGAGATAATACAGTACTTGGAGAGCACTGGATTTGGAGATTAAATTAATGCGGCATACTCTATTTGAAAGGCCTTAGCACTAGAGTCAGCTTCAGTTAAGTGATGAATATAGAACCCCCAAGAAAAAAAGAAAGAAAAAAGAAAAGAAAACAATTTCCCTACTTTTCCCACTTGAGACACAATCATAAGGTGAAAACCCTCAGCTAAATAAATAAGTAGTAAATCCTCAAAAAAGGAACAATGGTAAATCAGAAATTTTCTCACATAAAGAAGTTTGCGGAACGATCTGTCTTAGACACGCGATCCAAAACTTTCTCATTTTGTATGAAATAACATATCAAAAACTCTTCATTTTTTCCCCCTGCAACTCGAGCTTCTCCAGTTAAGTGGAACGGCGTACAGGATCGAGCTTGACACAGATCGTTCGATGAGTTTGGGTTGGATGGAATCTCCGGATATGGCATTTGGGACGAGATAGATGATCTCTCTCAGCTGATGGCAGAAATTTCACTTCTGTCAGGAGAAACCACGAAGGTCGGACGGGATTTGAAACTGTTTTGGGAAGCATGAAGGTTCTCGGAATTTGGGTAAGTGATATCTTTTTTCCATTCTTTATGGTTTTGTAATTTTCTCTCAGAAGAAACATTACGAAAACAATGCTTCCATACAAACAGCACTAATATAGTCCTTTAAAAAAAATGAAACAGATAAAAATAACATTGAATTAACAAGTCTAAACACTAGTCATTCCCAATTAATTTAAGAAAAAAAGAAAAAGAAGACTGGGGACAATATCTTTGATCAAAAGGTTACTTCTGTAATTATTCATCAATCAAACCAATTAAATCTTAATTTACATAAACCGAGTGCCCTCAGAATTAAATGAATTATTAATTACAGAACCCCCAAAAGTTTTCACTAAATTATGAAAGGATTTCAGGAGTTCTTGCTATTCTATGAGGAAACTGGCCATGGTCAGCCACTGATGTTGATAAATTCCAAGAAAAAATATCCCAAACTAAAAAAATATGATTGTTTATGTTATATTACGAGCTTCTTCTTAATTTCATATTTATTATAAGCTGCTGTTTTTCTGAAAATACCCACATATGCATTATCAATAATTTCTCCGCTCATTTTTCTCTTATCATGGATGGGCTGTTGGTACAATAGTTCAGATATGGTAATGACAATGAAAAAAATTTAATTTTTTTCCAGTTGCTGATGCCTATAATATAATTTTATTTTATAATCATGGATTCCTTTATGCGATTTAAATGGAATGTATGGTTTCAAAAGGAAGAATTTTTTTTAGTAAAATGCATTTAAACACGGAATTCTTAGAAAATGATATGTACGAAAAAGAGCTGCTGCATGTTTTACGAAAATGAGCTGGACCAAATGGTTCTTTCTTAAAAGAAAAGACACTGCTCAACGATTTGGGGAAGTCCAATAATGACCTATGAAGGACATCACTGGTCATTGGTAATTCGAAGCAGTTTCAGATCTCAGAGAACACCCTAAGTGCATGGGGTTTTCTTAGTTTTTCGTATGTATATAACTGCTAGCCAGTTTCTCGTAGAAGATTCTTCACGAAGCAGTCACCTCTAATTAAACAATTGTGTATACGAGCCAGTTTCCCTTAGAAAGTCCTCCACGAAGGCATCCCTCCCCTTAGGCAGATAGCCCTCGAGGCTTTGCCGTAATTAAATAACCTAACCTAATGAAACAATTAGTTTGGATACAAATTTTACTGTACGAGAAATTATATTCAGAATAATCTTTCAGGGCCTAGATGTAATATTTGGCGCAATTGAGAAACCTGAAACATATGGTTCTTTAGACGTGAATATTTTTATAATTTTACTATGAGAACATCACTTCTTTAACTGCCGACTTGTGATTTGCTATCATACAAATTATATCTCTTATTTATTATCATATAAAAGCATTTAGAGGATCTAAGTAATTATAAAACTGATAACTAATAAAATGAAACTTCCTTATCTGCGGTAAGTAGTTTTATTAGCTATATAATCGTCAAAGTTGTATATACAAATGTTATTAAGAAGCATATTCACTGATAAATAGCACACTATCGAAATTTGTGAAGTGCATTAAAAATGCCGAGTGATTAACCACAATTCATTGACTTTTAGCGATCTGTTTATTTTTCCTGATGAGAAAAAAGTGTCATGGTGATTTTAAAAGAATTTTGTACATAGAGAACGTAAGCTTTATACAAAGAAGGTTAGATGCGAAAAATATGATGATAAGCGAAAAGTATGTCTTTTAAAATGATATCAAACAATTGAAAAAAAAGAATAGCCTAAAACGTGATTTTACGCTAAGTAGGCATGTTTAAAAAAAAAAATGTTTCCCAGTGCTTGTCTTTTGCTCGATGACAAATTAATCTTAAATTTAATTTGAAAATCAAAAACGTGCTTCTGGTTATAATCAAATGATTATTTTTATATTAACTGATTATTACTAAGTGAAACGATTATAACGAAAGGACTATTATTAGGTAAATCATGCTTAAAACTGAATAATAAATTGAAATTACGTTAAGTATCCTTCCTTGAACTCATAATTTGAGTACCATCCCAGAAACAAAATTATTTTGTCTCAGGCCAATGTTTCTCAAGCTTTTTATCCTTGACGAATCCTTGAAGCAATATGTGCACTTTAAGAACACCTATATAAACGTAGCATCTGATTAGAACTATGCATTTAACTTTTAATTACCTTATTCTTCATAATTTCTCACGGAACCAAAAGGGTCCTTGGAACGCCAGCTGTGAAAAGCTGACTTCGGCTAAATTCTTAGAAAAATAATAATGTTGTCAGCAATTTAATACAGATGGTGAGCCAAACCCATACTCCAATGTAACACAATTGACGTTACGTCGAAGATTAAAAAAAATTGAATAGGTTCTGTATCAGTTAACTGATAATGTTTCATTTCTCAGAAGTCTAGTTGACATGTAAACAGAGAATAGCAAAAATGCAGGTGTTTCGAAAGGAAGATCAGATTTCATGCATTAGCAAATTGTTTTCGTGGTTCTTAAATCTTTTATACAGGTAAAAGATATGTCGTTCTTATAACGAAAAAAATGAAAGATTTGATTTTTGAGTTCACTTATATTCAGTGTGTTACTCATACGTAAATGTTCCTCACAGCTGAATCTGTTTAAGTGCTTATGACGACAGTTTATTGTGCATTTAGCTTCACAGATCACCAAACTTAAATCATTGTGAGTGTTTTCTCTGAAAATTTGCTGAACTTCCTGTCTGCGCCAAACTTACAAGGATTCAAAAAAATTACAAGAATTGCTACAGCATTGCCTTGCAGAATTTTTGCGCAGGTAAAATGCTCACAGTAAGAAATTGAGAGGCTGATATACGTATTTTGATTTATGGTTGACTTAGGTTATTTGAGTACGCAAAGCCGTGAACAGTTTTGCCTAAGAGAAAGAAAGCCTTCGTGGATTACTTTCAGATGGAAACTTGCTCATATTTATGAGCTCATATTATCGTACTTCACGCGGGGGTAAAACCACGAAAACCAACCATGCAGCCAGACGGTTCGCATTGGTTTGAACCGAAGCACATTGAGTTTCCAGCATTCAGCGCTCTTAATCAATAGAATATGAAACAGGAACACATAGAACATATGAAAAGAAACTCATTTTTTTCATTATGAAAAGAGACATATAACAGTTTTTTTTTATTGTAGGAAATAACATTCTTCAGCTAAGTAAAATCTGGCTCTTACATTTGAAACAGCCTGTTTAGGGCACTCATATTAAGAAAAACGAGTCAAATGGACGTTTACAAACTAAATTATGTACGTGTTGATTGATTACTGTATTTTTTACCAAAATAGGCTTTTATAATGATAAATCACTTGCAATTATAGCTAATATAGTAATTATTAATAAAATAGTCTGTTATAGGGATAAATCACTAGAGCAAAAGTAGAAATGTTTCTTACCATAAAGTCTACTCGGTGTCCGCTCATTTCATTGGGGGCAGTACAAAAATGCTAAAAAATCCTTAGATTTGCTGTTTGGTGAACTAACACAAATGTCAGTGTTGTCATTGTGAGCCACAGATGTATTTCCTACTCGTGACTATTCAAGAGTTAAATTAAACAGAAAAGAATACCTATGAAGAAGATACAAGGTAGAGAAGAAAAAGATTTTAAGCGCCTTCTTCTTCAAAGACATCGCAATTATAAAAACCCATTCATTCTCCAGTCTTTGATGTTAGGCTTAAAGGCGTATGCAGTTGGCTTCGACGAGTGCACTATGAGACAAGATGAAGAAGAGATAGATAACAAATGCAGATAAATTAGATAATAAATATATAAACATGAAATAAAAATTGGGTAAAATAAGAAAGAAACGACGAGAAAGAAATATTGATTAACATCTACCATAAGGTTCAGATGTTTCTGCGTGCAAGTCCATAATTGATGGTCCCTCTGTTTGCATCCTGTCTCTAAAGTTATTAAAGTTCAAACTGTTAAATTTCGTTTGAAGTATATTTCATTCACATTAATTTGCAGTTAGTAACCACACTGGTTTTAAGCCTTCATTTTGTTCTAGTTTTATATAATTCATTGAGCTTCCTTTTATGTTAATCATGAATCTGCATTAAATGATACAGATTAAGACTTCATATTACGCGAAGTACTATACGAATAATTTGTGAAAAGAAAAGGTAATGTAATATAGTAATTATACCGATATTAGTGGCTGCTGTTCGATATATTCGGAACGGAAAAAGCTTTATAAATTTTTAAATTAGGATGTACGAATGAACCCTAATATCCCTATTAGTTTATCCAAAATACTCCAGTTGAAAATACTGGGTATTTGGCAAATCCTATCAGTGACTTCTGTCGCAATATTAAATGAAATTTTATTATACTCAAAACAGATAATACTGCTAACATATTCAAAACAAACAAGAAAAGGAAAATTTTCACATGAATATTAAATTTCAGAATTTCAGTTTGTTGCTTAGCCTTATATCCCATATCTTCTCCCTCCAAATGCATTTTTCGGAGAGATACTGCATTCGTATAAAGAGTATTTAGAGTTCAAATTCCAAATACCCAAATTAACAAAGAACCGCAGCTCATGCGGATATTTGACGGATCCGGATAATTTAGTTGCTTCTTCCCTGTTTTCAAATACTTATTCACTGTGATGTACATGATGGAATAATTTTTTAACGTATTTTTTATAAGGTATTTTCTTTCTCCTTTACGCGTGCCTTCGTAATTTAACTGGATAGCAAGTTCGACTAGCTTTGGGAGGTCTGGTGTTCTAATCCCCGCCAGTACATTGCATATTTTTCATGCTCGTCTAATGACTCTACAGTATCAAGAAGATGAAGATGTAAAATATTTTTATTAACAAAATACACAGCATATTATTTTTTTCTGATAGAATAAAGCAATAAATAAAATATCATAATTAAAACACAATACGATACATACTGAAAGACTTAAAGATAGCTGTCTGTAGTTATCTTTCGTTAGCCTTTTACTAGAATATATAGCATGTTGTTGTTT